TGTGTGAGTGCTGACAACGTTTTGCGTCCATTGCTGCAATGAAAGCGCTCTGACCCACGTTGGCAATACTGCCATTCAATGAAACCACTAGAAGTGGCTTCCGTTCTGGTGGAGGAGGCTTATTGGATGGCTCTTATGCAGACTGTATTGTATTTATCTAAAACCATTTCGCTTGATCCTAACCCGTTCAGATTGATGGCAACAATGTTGCTTACAAAATGTTAAACGTCCAAATTTGTTTGTCTTTTGATAGTTGCGCTGTGCGATCCAGCGTTCTTCCAGACGATTCTCTCCCGATGGCTTGGAAGCAGTTACTTAGAAAGAGTGCGATACTGTTTTACATTTCGCATTTCGCACAGCTGTAACCTCGATCATTCCCGAAAAGATCCCCTTTTTCCGGATGGTTCTGGAAGTGCACCATCAAACGATGCAGGAATATACGGTTGAACGAAATTTTTCGAAGAGAAGACCCTTTCGCCGAATAAAATCGCAGCTTTGGATCGGAAACCAACTAGTGTCTGCTAACTGACAGTTCCAGTGGTACTGACGCAAGTTATTCCGATCGTCATATATTCGCAAGGTCTGGAGAAGGCTTTTTAGACAGTTTTGACATTCCTTCGAGATATCCTTGTCATAAATTTGGCTTTTATTCACTATAAGGATCCATCTTGAAATCTTTAAGCAGAGGAGATTTTAAGATACATAAAAGGCAACAATATATGCTCTTTGTTCTCAATTTAAAACCTAATGGTTTTATGATTGCTTTTATAATGATAGAACACATTTATAGAGTATTTTATCAAAACATTAATAAAAATTGCTAATGAAATGTATAATTGATTTATAAAACAGTTTTATGGTGAGTTTGAGAGCTACTTGAAATTTAATTTTAAAACAAGACAGTTTTTGACTTCTCACCAGACTGTAAAAGGTTTTTAAAACAGCGAAAAGGTGAACTACTAAGCAGGAACGTTTTACACTGTGAAATGCTGTATTTAAATTTTAATATCACATCAAAGTGGATGCACTTCAATCGTGTCGACCATATGGTGTAATATTACTTGCCAAAAAGGACAAAAGTATCATTAATACAGTGCATAAACTGACATTACGCTGCTTTAACTGCATTTATTTGTTGTAGTGGCCGTACAAATTATGTGAATTTTTTACATGATTGAAGTGCATCCTTTTGGATGTAATATTAAAATTATTTTTTTTCTGTGTACGACTTATTTTCAAGGTGAAATTGTGCCCATTTGTAAACATATGTTCTGCAACCTTGGATTTAAATTCATAATTAAGTCCTTTATCCATCTCTTTGTTAGACTTTTTTTTACTTTACGTAATATCCTAACAATTATTTCAGCTGATTTGTCCTACTGCTGAATACTAAACCTAGGCCGAAATTCCCGGCTACCCGTTTTAAATCCTCAGTATCTAGTGTAAGAGCTGTCAAAATACGCCTAAAATGGTCCCTTGTTCTTTTATCGATTACTGCCTGGATTGCTTTTTCTTGATATCCATTAAGTCTAATGATTTCAAAAATATGAGCTATTTCCTTTGATTTACCTGTGTCGCTAAGAGGAAGAGTTTGCATCCTGTGAACCATGTGGTCAAAAACGGCCATTTTGTGTTGATGTGCTTGGTATTACTCTCTTTGTATTTGTTGGTTTCCTATTGATTTCAAAATTGAACGAAAGCGTTTCCCTGATTATAAGAAGATCTAAGAAAGGGAGTTTGCCGTCTTTCGCTTCTTTGTGAGTAAATTTGATGCCATTGTGAACGTTGCTTAAAGGGTGATACGGTCAAAATTTGGTCAAGGGAAAACGTGTGTAAATCGGTGAAATCGTTTATTTAAAAAATCAAATTAAATTTCTTTTTCAAGTTCAATTAGTATAAAATTCAGGAAAAATTTTCAGTTAGGCTTCCGCTTTTCCAAATCCGAATTGCCGGGCCTTACGCTTTACCCCTGCCATCAGATTTTGTACAGCCACCTTGTCCACCTTCTTCGCCGCAGAAAGCCAGTTTGCCTTGAACTGCTGCTCGCCCTTAGCAGTTTTTTTGGTCTTCTTTAGGTTCCGCTTGACAATAGCCCAGTATTTCTCAATTGGGCGGAGCTCTGGCGTGTTGGGAGGGTTCTTGTCCTTGGGAACCACCTGCACGTTGTTGGCGGCGTATCACTCCATGGCCTTTTTACCGTAATGGCAAGATGCCAAATCCGGCCAAAACAGTACGGAACAACCGTGTTTCTTCAGGAAAGGCAGCAGACGTTTATTCAAACACTCTTTCACGTAAATTTCTTGGTTGACAGTCCCGGAAGCTATGAAAATGCTGCTTTTCAAGCCACAGGTACAGATGGCTTGCCAAACCAGATATTTCTTTGCGAACTTTGACAGTTTCATGTGCTTGAAAACATCTGCTACCTTTCCTCTTCCTTTTGCCGTATAAAACTCCTGTCCCGGAAGCTGCTTGTAGTCGGCTTTGACGTAGGTTTCGTCGTCCATTACCACGCAGTCAAACTTCGTCAGCATCGTCGTGTACAGCCTCCGGGATCGCGCTTTGGCCGTCGTATTTTGTTTATCATCGCGATTTGGAGTCACTACCTTCTTGTAAGTCGATAGTCCGGCTCGTTTTTTGGCTCGTTGCACGGTTGTAGACGATACACCCAGCTTATTTGCGGCATCTCGGAGAGAGAGGTTAGGGTTTCGCTTGAAACTACCGGCAACTCTCTTTGTCGTCTCAGCGGCTTCCGGTTTTCGATTTCCCCCCGATCCAGACTTCCTGGCTGTTGACAAACGTTCCCCAAACACTTTAATTACATTTGTAACGGTTGATTTGGCAACTTTTAGCGATTTTGCCAACTTTGCGTGCGAGTAGCTCGGATTTTCGCGATGCGCGAGCAAAATTTTGATACGCTGCTCTTCTTGCTTGGACGGCATTTTGACAAATGAAGAGTGAATTCCAAAATCAAAATAGGAGCAACATTCTACACACACACACCTTCAAAATGAGGGGTGTTCAGGTTTTTTAAATGCAAAATTGAAAGAAATACGTCAAGTTGATATTGACCAAATTTTGACCGTATCACCCTTTATAATGATTTTGTGCCAAATACTCACGATAGCCCATACTTTAGATGATCCTGATAAATGAAAAGTAGTCGAACTCATTAGAACTCAATATTACCTGAAAAGCCCGTTAAGTTCGATTGCTCATAGGGTTAAAATATACTTCGCCTTCTTTATGAGAACAAATGAGATTATGGACTGAAGAAAACTCCACGGAATTTGGACTGCAATGTGTTTTAAAGATTCAACCACTTTGTTTAAGATTCAATCACAAATTTTAAGAAAAAAAATATGAAAATTTCATAGGAATTTTATAAAAAAATTAGAATAAATCAATGCAAAATTTAAGGGAGCCAATGTATTTTAGGGAACAAGTCTAATATCATTCTAGAAAGAGCTCTAAAAGAGTGCTCATAAGAATTTTAAGGCAATTGTGGAAAGAATGTTAAGGAAAATTAAGTACAGGTAAATTTCTTGAAGTGTTTAGGTAGGAGAATTCCATGATGACTGTCAGGAAGATTCATGGTCCAATTTAAATGAGTATCCCTAACAATTTTTGAGGAAAAATCTGAGAGCGTTCTGATGTGTGATTCAAAGGAAATTACGAGAGGAACTCAAATGGTATTCCATTTGAAGAATAGATTAAAAATAATTCTGGGAAAATTTCCAAATAAAGTCTGAAGATAATTCTTAGCTCCAATGTAATTGCAAAGATGGCTCAAGGGAAGTCCAATAATAGTTTCAAGAAGCATTTCTACAGAATTCTGAGGAGAATAAGATATTTTTGAAATTATTCGTAGCAGTGCTTTATCTATAAGCAGATAAACATGATAATTTTAAATTATGGAATAAAACTACATAGAATTCTTGGTTTAATAGTTAAAATTCGAAAATAATCATTAGGTGAATTTAGAGAAATCATAAACCATGATTATATTATGATTATATTATGCGGGCATTTGATTATGATTAATTATTAATGATAAATCTCTAAAAAAATATGATAAGTGATTATGATTTGTCGTTAATCTTAATAATTAATCATTAATCATAATCAATCTTATGATTATTCACTAACGTTCTGATTTTAAACCACTGTGCAGTGCATGCTTTGACTGGGAGCTATTGTAAACCTGCTGCTATTGCAGAATAGAACAAGCTTTGAGCTATTTTAGCACTCTTTCGCTCTTAAAATCAACCATACAAATACCAAATCAACAACCAAAAGAACCCATTTTAAAGTCATGGTCCATCGAATGTACAAAATATTATTTTCATCGGACTAACCACAGAGCGTCGCAATAAAATTACGACAAAGCTGTCAATACCACCATTGGAGCACATTTTATCGCACGTCAAGAACACTTGCACAAGCTGTTGCCACTCGAATTCAACCGGTTGCTAATGGTTTTTGTCTCGCCTTCCTCAGCAAAAAGTAGCTACCCGTTCAAACTTATTATCGAACCACCAAAAAATGCCACTTGAAGCGCTGTTGAACATTTCCCCCACCACCATCACCACCAGAGCTCGCCATTTGCCATTAGTCGCATCGGGGCGAAAGAGATCGAAAAACACAAGCACCTAAATCGGGAGAAGCATTCTCATCCTCTTGCTTTTCGAGCGGAGTCTGGGACGTCCTAGAGTACCTACTTAGTAGAAATGTGTCTGTATATAGCAACAATATTGCCGCACCAGTTCACGTATTTCCGCTTGACTGCACCCATCTCTAATTTCATTTTCTTGTTCTTCTTGTTATTTTCTTCTTCCCCCACCGGGCACCGTCTCTGTGTGTTTGTGTATTTGTAATCATCCCACGCGCCAATTCATCGAAATTCGACCACCAACCCGCACCCGCACCCAACCTTGATCGAATCAACCACCACTACCACCATTTCCGCTGAATCAACCTTGACCGGTGCGCACCACTTCCAGAGGACCGAGAATTCGTTCAAGCATCGGGAGGAAACCACTTTATCAGCACCACGGGATTAGGTAATGCACACATTCCATCTTAATAACGCAATGCATAAACACTAACACACTCCCAATCTGCCTTAGACTGGATTCGGAACATCCATCGAAAAATATCACAATTTCTGAACCAGTCTAATTCTTTCCCATAACGTCCGGTTTCCTTCGTTATTCCATTCCAATTTCCTGACAAACGAGGGAACCTTCTTCTGCCTTCCCTGCGCGGGGCTCTTAATCTGCAACAACATTTGCTATTATCGAGTATTCTTGCTTTGCACCCACACTATTCCTAAACCTCCCAACTTTCACTTCCCCCACCACCACCACCCCCCAGGGTCAGAATATAGCACAATGGCAATTTCACTTCTAGGTACCAGTAAATAGCAGCAGCAGAACAGAACACCAGCGGAATCGAATGACAAAACAATAGAATCATAAATTTTCCTCTGACTGGGCCACACCGAAAAACACGAGGGACGACGCGCGCCATTCCTCTCCCAATGGACTATTTATTTTTTTTTTGTTCATCATGAATCATTGCACTACGTAGGTACCTATCAAGGGCAGAAGTAAATTGGAGCTTTTCGAGCAGGAACCAAACAAAAGCTCAGGGGAAAATCGTTTCGTTTGCTCCTTCGGCTACTTCGCCACCTCCGCCCCCGCCGTCGCTTGATCTTGTCCATTTAGGTTAGGTTTTCTGTCGGTGTACTTTCCTTCGAGTTGCTTATTGGTGGGAAGGGATGAACGAAACAAAAATCATGAAAAAACGGAAAAGTAATAGAAAACTTGGTTCCTTCCGCAATTGGTATTCTGTTGATGCTGTTAGCTCCTGCTTGCCGAACAGGATAAAACATACTTTTCGTTTCATGTTTGCAATTTTCGTCATTTTCACGAGAACGTGTACCTATTTATGTATTAATATTCTACTTTCAATTTCTTCAGTACCTTTTAGGTGTTCAATTACTTCAATTTAATTGAACTTACTGTTTTTAGATTTCTTCATATTGGGTTTCTTCAATTTTTACGCAAACTCAGTTCAATTGGATTTATTGCAGGCACATGCTTCTGCCGGTGGCTTTAATTTTCTTGCGTTTTATGCGATTGATACGGGGAATAGTTTTAAACAAGGTCTGGCGAAGACGTAACGATTTTCTAACCAAATTGGAACTGTCAAAATCGAACCAGATTCTACTGTTCATTTAAGTAAGAAACAGAAGGAGATATTTAAATATTAATAAAAAGTCAACCGTTATTATTTTTCGTAAATAACTGGGTGTGGACAAAACATCAAGAATTGTAATTGACCTGTTCTGATTTGGAAAAAATTTGGAGGAGATGATTAAATTAGACAAAATTTTAATATTCCAAATTTTTGGGATGATCGATGCACCCTTCGGTCCAAGCGAGCATTTTCTTTTCTTTTTTTTTCTTGATTTTCAACAGAGCACGTTTGCATTTAATAAATGGAAAACATGTCGACTTTTCAAGGGTTTACCTTCACCCGCCCTGATGAAACCATCCATGCAGCATCAATCATAGTAACCCATGAGTCAGCCGACAAAATTTGACAGCTCTATCAGTTGACCTCTAACCGTGATGGCAAAAACAGTGAAGCAACTCCGGTCAGAACGGCACCCCGCCGCGTCGAAAACGGACATCGTGCGGCACTTTGTGGACGCCGGATACGACCGTTCCGGTATCTACAACATCTTGGCACTATTAGACAACAATCAGAGCATCGAAAGAAAGCCCGGTTCCGGACGGCCGACGACCCTGAGCGACAATAAGCTCCAAAGGATGTTGAAGAGGAAGACCAAGGGAAAAGTGGCTACATCGCTGCGTGCGCTTTGCCGGGAGGTCGGTGCAACCGGCCAAACAGTGAAAAAGTACCTGGCGAACATGAACATACATGTCAGGAAGCGGAAGTCACGTCCACTGGTTTCGGAGTTGACCATCTTATTCAGCCGCTGCCGCTGCGTCATTGCCTGCAGGGCTGAATAAGATGGTCAATTCGTTTTTCCCGGCGAATCGCGACGTGGCGGTGGTGATAGACGACGATCTCACCCTGGATGGCAACGACTGGCAAGGCACTTCGTATTTTACTTCTCTCACGAAGGAAGTGAGCTCCGAGGTGAAGTTCATTTCACACACCAAGTTCCCTAAGAAGAGAACTGCTGCTGTGGCTGACAATCAGCGAGAAGGGGATGTCAAAGCCGCTCTTCTTTCGCTCCGGACTGGCCGTGAACGGGGAAATTTATAATACGAAATGCCTGCCGGAAGTTGCGCCATTCATCAAGAAATACCATAAGGGCGAAGACGCGGTGTTCTGGCCGGACCTCGAAGCGATCGTTGGAGGAGATGGAGCGGCTGAATATCGATGTGGTACCCAAGTCGGTGAACCCGCCCAACGTCCTCCAGCTGCGTCCCATCGAGAATTTCTGGGTCAACCTGAAGCGTAAGATCTACTGCAACAATTTTGTCACGAAAACTGAGGAGGACATGATAAATAAAACGAAGAAAGAACTCAAAAACATGCTTACACGCATATTTTCGTCCGCCATGTCGAATGTTCTGGTTAACTGCCGGAAGGTCGCTCGCAAGGGCGTAGAATTTTTTTGCAAGTGAGCTTAAATAATTACCTTCCATGGGAAATTTATCTAAATAAATTATCTGTCTAAGCTATTTTTATCACCATTCGAAAAAAAGACCATTTTTTTTAAAACGTTTGCATTTCTTCACTTTCTTCTATCAATATCTACGGAAAACATAAAGCTACAAATAATATTGTAGAGTGTTTTATGAGAAAATAAGACAAGGAATCTTAATATGAGTTTGTCATTTTTAAACAGTGTTGCCAAGTATTGTATATTTGTGATTAAAACTTAACACACAATTCTCTCAGGATGAGTAATTTTATACAAGGTGATTTTTTGTGGAACCCTATTTTGTTTACGTATATCTTGAACGTAAGACGCCTGAATGACAAGTGACAGCGCGTGTTCAAAATGTCATTTTAGTACAATTTCTACCATGAACCGCTACACACAGATAGAACGCGCTGAAATTGTAAAACTTTATTTCCAAAACAACTACTCAATTATAAAAACGCAACGTGCGTACAGGAAAAATATCACGGTAGTAAAATGCTAACGTCGAGGACCATTCGTCATCTATTGGCAAAATTTAGTGAAAGTGGATGTTTGGCAACATCAAAGCCTAAGATTAAAGCACGTCCTCGTCGAAGTGGTGAGGTTGTTGATGTCGTAAGAACCGATGTTGACAAGAACCCCGGAACATCATATCGCCGACGAGCCCAGCAATTTGGCCTCTCTCCATCGACCTTATGGACGATTTTGAAAGTTGATTTGCATCTTTTCCCTTACAAGATACAACTGACACAACAGCTGAAGCCAGAAGACAAGCCTCGTCACATTCAATATGCCGTAATGGGAGCGAGTAGCTATGGCGTCGCGTTAATCGGTTTGTGCTTCAGTCGGTTTTTCTTTTGGAGCACCGCCTCCCCCCAAAGAAGAGTTTTAACAAGTTACCTCTATGGTTTTACTGGGCCTTTTCGTTTCTTGGTGCTGACATTCTGTCGTCTGGACAAATACACGCGAAAGAAAGTTTTAAAGTTTTCACTTGGATGTTTTGACGTAGGACTACGTCTGTGATACATATATGGAGGTACACACTGTGAAAACTTATAATGGAACATGTCACGAAATTATGAAAGATTTTTATCGTTAATAACTCAGTTGCCCCTGAACCAATTTCAATAATTTTATCACCAATAGATCATAAATATGTCTATGCATCGATAGCACCGATTGTTGATTTTCAACAAGAAACTATTGAAAAAGCGGTAAATGTCCAGTATTGTCTAAAAGCGTTCAAATAACTAACAAATCCACCAATTATGTACATGTATATGCTGCTTTCCCAACACTGTCATCAGAGAGTCGTTAGTAGACGAACCAAGTCGAAGTGACATTCGCCTCCGATTTTCGAGCGTGTGCGAATAGGGAGGATGCAATTGCGTAACATTTTGCTTACTCATCGCCAGGGCTGTCATCTGATCGCTCAATGTGCGCAATGTACTGATTTTCTGAAATAAGCAACGTGCGAATCCATAAAACACAAAGTTTGCTTGTCTTTCACCCTGCGCAAGTATAAAGCAGCGGAGAAGATAAGACAGACACACACTCAAAAATAATCAAAACTCAATGTGTAGCCCTCGCTCTGACGGCTCCGACGCAGAAAATGCCACTCAGTGTAGGGTTGCAAATGGGAAACCCAGCAAAAAGACAAAATTTTCCTTCGTTATGCTCTTCTCAATCTCCTATGCATGCAGTCGCGTTAAGCAAAGTCTGCAAAGCATTCAAAGAAGACATTAGCGCTTGTTGTGTGGATCGCTTACTAACAGATTAGTTGGAAAAGAGTGTGCGAAGCATGGGTTGAAACAGTTGACGTTTTTTACTACACTCACTTCGTTGTCGTGCGCGGCAGTCTGTTTGTATTCAAACACTCATGCTCTACCGTCGTCTCTCTCACACAACACGAGCGGTTGAATAACATTCGAGCTAAAAGAAAATTATCAAAATAGCTATCATATGACATGTGTGCTTTCGTTGTAATTCCTGATCAGAAATATTATTACTAGGACATCATTGCTTGGTATTTTCAGAATTCACACAAGCACACCATCAGCAGCTCTTATTATGAGAAAAACTAAAATACATACATTCGTGACGGTCTTCGGCGACATTGTCGTATGATAGAGCCTGTCATACGACATTTTAGTTTGGTACTGTACTATGATAGCTTGTTTTGCAAGTGTCGGAGGCAAAGGCAGTCAATTATCACAGAAAATGTGTCGACTACCGTGACCGCTTACAAGACTGGTGCGAAGTAAATGGGAGAACCACACATTCCTTGTCGAGCGTTGTGAGATGCATGCACAAAGTTGCTTTGCTAACGCTCTGAGGTGCTTTCCAGCCCTGCAGTCATCGTCATATTCAGAA